ATATATATTTATAATTCATATACATAAACAAATAACATCTAACTGATGGAGTGCCAGATGGTTTTTCTAATGCACACCTTCAATTATTATTGTGCCTTTTAAGCGAATGGTTCATACAGGTGGAAAGAAGCTGAGTAGAAAGGAAGATACCGGAGGGAAAGTGAAGGGTAACATGGAACATTTTTGGATACATAGACACACACACACACACACACACACACACACACATGTGACATATATGTATACAGAGGCAGGCAGCGGAAATTACTGTCATTTCATGTCCGATGTTTTTGTTTTTCAATTCCAAGAAGCATAAGATTATGAAATCAATTTTCAGTTTAAAACTTTATCAATTATCACATTTCGTTATTATATTTGTTAAATTGAACGATAACGCTTAGTATGAATGGAAATGTTATATTTATAAAATTAAATGATAGATTATGAATAAAATGTTCATTTAATTAATTGTGTTTTTTTTTAATCTTTTTAATCTCATCACTTTTCTTCCTCTCTTAAGCAAATGATAATTTCATACTTTTAATTACTTAAAATGATTTCGACTCAATTTTATCAAATTATTTAATTAAGCCATATATTTATAGACAAAAAATGAAAAAGAAGTAAAATCAAAAAGAAGGAAATAAAATTTATCAGTTCCAATGATTTTGATAAGATAAATGAAAAAACCTGATTTCATTCGATCCCTCCTTTTTTGTAATTTATCATCATTTTTGTTTTTCATTATGAAATAAAATTCAGATCATGGAAATAATCCCTTGATTTTCCTCATTATTTGTTCATTATATCAATTTCATTCTGTGCTAATCCTACTATTTATCTGTTCATTTATGATTTTGTGTCATACATTAAAATTCATATTTATCAATTTTTGCTAATATAAAAAGCTGACGGAAATTAAAATCCAAAATTTAAACAACAAAATTGCTTTTAGAACTTCTTTTTTTGTTATATTTTCTTTTGTCACATTAACGACACAATTTCATATATTTGTCATATGCGTCGCTTTTATTTCTTCATTCCAGTCGCGATCACGTTCCTTCTGTTTCTTCATATCAGTCGTGGTCACATTCCTTCTATTTCTTCATATCAGCCGCGATCACGTTCCTTCTATTTCATTTCAGTCACGGTTACGTTCCTTCTGTTTCTTCATTTTAGTTACGGTTACGTTCCTTCTGTTTCTTCATTTCAATCGTGGTCACATTCCTTCTATTTCTTCATTTCAATCGCCAAATATATGATTCATAACGAAATATAGAAAAGCAAAAAAAAATTAAATAAAATTTAAATGAATCTCTAAAAATCACGAAAAGAAATGAAATGCCGTTGCAAAATATTTATGTCAATTTTTAAATTACAAAACTAGTTATCCGTAGAATTATTAATTACATAATATTTCCAGTTTTTCTTTTCTTGTTTATAACTTTTTTAAATCCTGATGAAATTTGTGGATTCTGTTAAATTATTTATTTACAAAATTTAACAATGATATATTTTCAATTTGGATTAAAATTCAACAAAATTAAATTTTTGCTAAAATTAATCTGTTATAAATTATTTTCTCCGATTATTTGTCAATTATCAATTAAATTTCATCTAATATTTAAATACGATAAATATGATGAATTTAAAATACATCCAGCATTTCTATGCGGAAAATAATTAAATTAAAATTGAATTTGTTACATTTTTCGCTTTAATCCGCGCAAGTTTATAATTGCTTTTATTATTCTCTTTTATTCATTTTATTTTTTTCAATTCATTTTTATCCAATTATATTATTATTATTATTAAAACTTGATGAATTAGTTGAGGTGTACTTCGTTTCAAACTTTTGTTTTTTAATATGTATAGATAGGTAATGAAGTATTATTAATACATCGTTTGCGAGAGATGACGAAATTGCTATCAATTTAGAACATCGTATAATTAATTAACCAGTAAAAATTGCTATCAATTTAATATATCGTATAATTAATTAATTAGTAAATTATGATTAAGTAATGTTTGATAATCATCAATCATAATATCTTAGAGTAATACCATATACTAATTTGCACCATCACAAATTTATTAAATTTAAAGAAAAAATTTTTTTTGTTTTTTCGATAAATTGTTTAGCAAATCTTTTAAAATGATAATAAGCTATATGAATTCAATAGAATTAATTAATCAGTAAACAATGATTAGGTAATATTTGGTAAATATCAGTCATAGTTTTCCAAATTATCTATCTTTAATTTCATACAAATGCGTTTTTCTTTTAATTGTTGTTTTTCTTCTTTTTTTACCTCATTTTAGAATGCGAAAAAACAACGCGGATATTGTTGTTGTTGTTGTTGTTGTTGTTATTGGAATCACTGCTAGTGATAATATTGATTATAATAATGGATGATAATTTAGAGTATTTGCTAAAAAACAACGCGGATATTGTTGTTATTGTTGTTGTTGGAATCACTGCTAGTGATAACATTGATTATGATAATGTATGATAATTCAGAGTGCGAAGAAAATTCATCTAAACGTAACAGTTAAACCGTCCGGAGAGTTGTTTTTGAATGGCTTGTTGATGTCTTTAATTGAGTTATTTTCGTTCCGTAGTTCAGCAAATTCAGGAAGGAAGTATGACCAAAAATAGTCAATCAACGAAATCTATTCCGGAACGTATTCTACGAGCAAATGATCGTGAATTTAATGAACAATTCAAATATGCTGTTAGCATTTACATAATATATTTTATTTTAAAAAAAAAATTATGAAAAGTTTTCAGTTTCATTTTTTTTATTTTCTTATTAAAAACAATATATAATTAATTAATTAATTTATCAATACTTTTTTAAGGATTACATCATTATATATTTTTAGAAATTTTATCTTTTCCCTTTTTTTTCAGGATAATTATATTAGAACTTCGAAATACAATCTTATCACATTTGTTCCGCTTAATTTATTGGAACAATTTCAGCGCCTTGCTAATTTTTATTTTTTGATATTAATGATTTTGCAAGTATGCTATTTAATATTTTAGGAAGCTTTCTTTATTTCTTTTGTTGTTATCATTTTAAAATTTTTGTTCATTAAATGTAATTAATTTATGGATAATATTATGTTACATAATGTATATATTAAAGATATGCTTTCCATGATAATACCATGTAATCAGTTATTTTAATCTTAACACTTTTATTATAGCTTATACCATCGATTAGCTCAATAGCATGGTATTCAACTGCCATTCCATTATTTGTTGTGCTTATATTTAGTGCTGCAAAAGATGCTTATGATGATATTGTTAGTTATTCGATTTCTAATATATTCATTCTTATTATTTATTGTTACTATTATTATTATTGATAGTTATTATCATTATCATTAACTTTAGCAAAGACATCGAAGCGATAAACAAGTAAATAATCGAATCTCGTATGTTGTTCGAAATGGTCAATTAATTATGGAAAAATGGATGAATGTTAAAGTTGGTGATATAATACGTATGGAAAATGATCAATTTGTTGCGGTATATTATATTTTTATTTCTGATCAAAACAATGAATTATTTATGTTTATTTATTCGCATATTTAAATATTGAAATTTGTAGTATAATTAGATAAAATTAATTAAATCAGTTTTATTAAAAAAAGGGTTTAAAAATTTTTACAAAATAAAAGAATGATAATTGTTTCACGTTTCTTTTTGAGAATTTTAAATTATGAATGTTTTTAAAATTTTCATTCAGGCTGATTTACTTTTGTTATCAACCTCAGAGCCTCAGGGCTTATGCTATATCGAGACATCAGAACTTGATGGTGAAACAAATTTAAAAGTTCGTCAAGCTTTACCGGAAACGTTTGTTATGGGGGATAAATTAATGCAAATAAGTAAATTTAAAGGTTAATTCTTTCCAATTTTCGTATATATATATATTACTAAAAAAACTGATTATTTCATTTATGTTATCAATAAAACTGATTATTTCATCTATGTTATCAGTAAAACTAATTATTTCATCTATGTTATCAGTAAAACTGATTATTTCATCTATGTTATCAGTAAAGCTGATTGGATATTAGAACTATTCCAAATAAATACTTCATTTCACGATAATTTCTCATTACATATTGATTTCTTTTTTGATATATCTATTAATTTCAGGTCAAATTCATTGTGAAATACCAAATAATAAGTTGAATCAATTTGAGGGAAGATTACATTATGATGGTAATGTTTTATTGCTTGATAATGGGAAAACGTTATTGAGAGGATGCGTATTACGGAATACTCGTTGGTGTTATGGAGTTGTAGTATTTGCAGGTTTATTTTATTCAAAATTACTTCATTTATCAAATTAATAATTTTTTTTTTCAATGTATAGAAATTATTAGTTAGGTTTTTTTTTAAGTACAAATTATTTATTAGATACAATTTTTAGGAAAAGACACAAAGCTAATGATGAATAGTGGAAAAGCGAAATTTAAACGAACAAGTTTGGATCATTTCCTTGATATTTTAATTATGGGTGTTAGTTTATTTTAGTTTTGCTTAATAAAATAATTGAAAGCTTTCTGAATGAAATAAATGTTTAAAACTTTTAATGAAATTGTTTCATTTATTTTTAAATTAGAATTGTAATATTTATCAAAATGATTGTATTATCACAGTCAGTTCGTTAATTTTCAGATAGTTATATTTTTGTTAGCAATGTGTCTTATTTGTACAATATTATCTGGAATTCGAGAATGGACTATTGAAAGCCATTTTACTGTTTATTTAAATTTGGGTAGCTCAATCATTTCAAATCACATGAAACAATCATTGCAACACACTTCCGCTTTATCATTTATCATGTTCTTCTCATATCTTATCTTGCTCAATACCGTTGTGCCTATTTCACTTTATGTAAGGTAAAATTAGTTATTTCTTTAATTTATTCCAATTTAATTATCTCCACTAATTGTTGAATTATTCCAAAAGAATTAATAATATTTAGAAGATATCAATCTAAATTATGTACTCTTATAAATATACAAAAATTGTTGCATACCATTTTTTCTTCATTTTAAGATTGTTAATCAGAAGTTCAAATTTAATTATATGAAATATTTTATTAATTTGTTTCATTATTTTTCCCATAGTTTCTTACTTGCTTGAAACATTGAAAAATTGATTTCATCTTTTAATTTCGAAATATTGCAGTGTTGAAATCATACGATTTTTTCATTCAATGTGGATTAATTTTGATTGTGAAATGTATTACGAAAAGGTATTTTAATATTTCGTAATTAAATTGTACTTCATATTTCTTTTATTTTAATTTGAATGCCAAATTACAATTCATATATTTAATATTTAATTTTCTTCTTTTAGGATGATATTGCTGCATGTGCACGTACCACTACATTAAATGAAGAATTAGGCCAAGTTCAATATATATTTAGCGATAAAACAGGAACTTTAACGCAAAATTCAATGGTATTTAGGAAGTGTTCGATTAATGGATGTAGTTACGGTGATATATATGACATTAATGGTGAAGTAATTGAGGTAACAGAGGTATGAGATTTGTTATGGAATATATTTTAATTATTTATTACTATATGGAATCCAAGAATGGATTATTGAATGTTATTTTATTATTTGTTTAAATTTGGATAGCTCGAACATTTCAGAGAGCAAAAATTTTAGTTATCATTTGATGAGGAATGAGATAAAATTGAGATAAAATGCTATTGTTCATTTTATTTTAAGATATTTGCACATTAAATATTTTAAAACTTTAAACCTACACTTGTTTGTTCAACAATCAAGGAATTATTAATTAAAAGAGTTAAATTTTCTTGAAGCATAAATTATTATATATAATATATAATATAATTTATGCCTTTATATATGTGATATATAGTTAATTAGAATTTACTTTTATAAAGTTAGAATTTATTAAATATCGTTTGTAACAAATTTTGCTCCATTAATATTAGTATGAATGAATTATTTGCTAATTGAAGAATACACCGACGGTTGATTTCTCAAAAAATCATTGGTTTGAACCGAATTTCAAATTTTACGACGAAACATTATTGAAAGATACAACCAAAGGACTTTACCAAGTAATGAGTTTTCTTTTTCTTTTCCGTAATTTGTTTGCAATTAAAATTTATTATTTTGTGGTTTGCTTTCCTTCAATTACTTTTAGATAAATCTATCTGTTACAATTAACAGTATTTAAGGTAAAAGAATTCTGGCGACTTTTGGCTCTTTGTCACACTTCCATGCCAGAACGGAAAAACAATTTCTTGAAATATCAGGCACAAAGTCCGGATGAAGCTGCTCTTATATCTGCTGCACGGAATTTCGGATACGTTTTGAAATCTCGTACTGCTCAAACTATCACACTGGAAGTAGCCGGCTCCGAAGAGGTCTTTCTTAAAATATTTGTGGAATTAATTTCAAAAAAAAATTACCGTATCCTGCTTCAATAGCATTAGACAAGCAAGCATATTAGAATACTATTAGATTTATAATACAATAATTAGAATACTATTAGATTTAGAATACTAGAACTAGAATACTAGGATTAGAATACTATTAGATTTAGAAGACTAGAATTAGAATAACTAGGATTAGAATACTATTAGAATTAGAATACTTTAAAAGGATTTTTTTTAGGTATATGATTTATTAGCAATTCTTGATTTCAATAATGTCAGGAAGCGAATGTCAGTAATTGTCCGAAATCCTTTGGGCGAATTAATACTTTATTGCAAAGGAGCAGATACAGTTATACTTGACAGGTTTAAAATTTTAACTTTTCTTATGAATATTGATAAACAGTATCGATTTAGTTTCATATTAAAATTGCTATGAAATATATTCATATATTGATATGTTCAGCATTTAGGATATCACACGACACGTCACCATCATTGAAAAGTGCAACAATTCAACATCTCGATAAATTTGCTGTTGATGGCTTTCGAACATTATGTTTGGCTTATAAGGAAATTAGCATTGATGTTTTTAATAAATGGCATGTAAGTTTTATGTTTGTAGTTTGAATTTTGATTTCGATTAATATTGCTAATTCATCAAAAAATACCGAAAAATAGTTTTGAAAATTTTCCTTCGAATAATTAACTATAATTTTAACATATGTAAACGTTCGTTTTAATTATTATTGCTAATAGGAACAGCAAAAAAAAGCGGCAGCTGCATTAACTAATCATCAAGAACAATTAGATCGAGTTTATGATGAATTGGAACAAGAGATGATACTTCTGGGAGCTACAGCAATTGAGGATAAGCTTCAAGATGGTGTCCCGGATACGATAGCAAAACTTGCTCATGCTAACATTAAAATTTGGATTTTAACAGGTGATAAACAGGTGTGGTAATTTTAACGACTATTATTTAATTGATACAATGAAGATTGAAAAATAGTGCTTTCATATCATTGGGTATATTTATGTTTCAGGAAACGGCAATCAATATTGGCTATTCATGCAATTTGTTAACGGAAAATCTTCGTGAAGTTTTCATTATTGATGGTGAAACGAAGCGTGAAGTTGAAGTGCAATTGAAGGATGTACGACGACGAATCGAGCAAGCACTTGGATCGGTAAATATTTCATTTAAACTAATAACATAGTTAATAACGTAGAGACAACTATAAATGCATGCAATATCGTAAAGTTTTCTTTTTCTTCAATTTACTACTTAGAAAAAGAAAATTAAAAAGGAAGGAAACGAAACATAACATAGTAAATTAAATTATGAAAAAAATTTTCCCGAGAATATTGTCGAAAATTGGCTAATATAATTACGATTAGTAGGAAGATTGTGGTGATCCTAATATTCCAGGGGAAAATAAAAGATTAGGAATAAAAATGGTCTTGTTAAATATGAAAGCAAATGCTCTTATGAAATATATTTACGAATTTTAGGATGCTTTATCAGATGATGGAAAACTTCCTCCTCAATATTATACTGTCACAGATATCGGTAATTTGCGATCTAATGATACCAAAAATTTAGCTTCCATTCATGGTAAATATTTTTAATAGTTTCTAACATTTTGTTTTATTATTTTATTGTACTTGTATCATTAAAGTAAAACATATGAATAAGACGTAGTTTTTATTAAATACATTTTACGTTATACATTACGTAAAATAAAAAATATGAGTTCACTTTTTTCCATAAATTCATTTTTTCTTTAAACCAAATAATTTTTATGGGATTCATTTTTGGAATCATATTTTCAGAAAATAATACTGAAGTTCAAAATCATCTTGAATCTGATGAATGGAAAAATTTAGAAGGCTATGCATTAGTCATTAATGGACCATCGTTAACATATGCGTTGAAAAAAGAGCTGGAAAGGACATTTCTGGATATCGGATGCTTGTGTCGTGTAAGTATTAAAAGTTTGCATACATCATGTAAAATAAAAATATGATTTTATTTTTTTTCATAAACTCACCTTTTTTTTAAATCAAATAATTTTTGAATTCTTGAAAGAAATTTAATATCTTAATCATTTCATATTCATGTTCACATTTATTTCAATTTCATATCGTTTCAGAAAATAATGATTGTTGATTTGATGCAAGGGAAGAGAATAATTTCTCGTTGCAGGCAGTTGTTTGTTGTCGTGTTACACCGCTCCAAAAAGCAATGGTTGTTGATTTGGTGAAAAGGAATAAAAAAGCGGTAACATTAGCTGTTGGTGATGGTGCAAACGATGTGTCAATGATTAAAATGGCACATATTGGAGTTGCAATTTCAGGTCATCTTCAAATTTAAATGATAGAAATAATTTACGTGACAGCGGTCCTAGGTATTTTCAGATTTAGAACAGTGGAATTGATTAATTTGATAAATCATATCATATAAAAAGGTTTAATTCTCATACATAAGCTACTTAATCCAATGAAAAGATGCAATAAATTTAAAAAAATGATTACTCGCTACTTAGCGCTTCCTTTTGGAATCGAAGCATATCTCTCTATTTATGCAATTTGCGGCTAAAATAAATTCGGAAGGAAATCGGAAGAAATCTGAGAGGAAGGACATCTGAAGAGTTATACTTGAATTTTCAGGACAAGAAGGTATGCAAGCTGTATTAGCATCTGACTACAGTATCGGGCAATTTCGTTATCTGAAAAGACTTCTGCTTGTGCATGGTCGCTGGTCTTATTTTAGGATAACAAAATTTTTGCGATATTTTTTCTACAAAAATTTTGCTTTTACACTTACTCATTTTTGGTACTCCTTTTTCTGTGGATATTCTGCACAGGTAATGTTGAATTTAATTCAAACCTGAATATTTATTTGTTAGAATTTAAATGTAAAATCTGGAACTTTGACTCATTCCATAAGTTTGTTTTAAAGAAGTTAAATCATCAAAAGCTAACTTTATAGTTTTAAATTTAATTCGGAAAATTACTTTTACCCTTATCTAAAGCTAAGAGATTTGATAATGATAAGAATGTGTAATTCAATTTTAACTTAATCATCTAATACCTTTGTAGTAATTAAATTCAGATAAAGAAAATTCCAAATTCAATTTTTTATTCTCAAATTTATTATGCTTCAGGTAATAATTCTTTTTTTATCCGCATTATAATTTATATAAATATTATCAGCAATTTTTGCAGTCAATTTACAATCCGGTTTTAATTGCTTGCTATAATTTATTCTTTACATCATTACCTGTACTTGCAATGGGTATATTTGATCAAGATTGTGATGATGTATATAGCATGAAATATGCTACACTTTATATACCTGGTCAATATAATTTATTTTTTAATATGCGAATTTTTATATATTCTGTTCTTCATGGAGTGATCAGGTATTTTATGTTTTCAAGTTTTCCTTTTTTTCAAAATTTTTTGAAATATGAATTCTTTTTAATTATTCTCAATAATTTGAATTTTGTTAGTGAATATAAATGTTTAAGCAAAATTTAAATTATAAATCTTTTTGAACAGAGATAGATAGGTAAAAGTTGAAAGTATATGAGAGAGAAATAGAAATAGTGATGTTATTATTTTTAATTTATCATTGTAGATTAAAGGAGATTTCATTCTGTTTTTAATTTCCACTGTTATATTCTATTTGTTTTTACATTTAGTGATAATTACGGTGTGTTAGTAAAGATTTCTAAATTTAATTTTGTATTTATTTAATAAGTGATTAATACATTTCGAAATTTCAAGCTTTAGATACTTCGAAATTTTGAAACTTTAGAAGATATTCTTTAGAAGGTCGAAATTTTAAAACTTTAGAAGATACTTTACAAATTTTTAAATTACATATTTTTAATTTAAAAATATTTCAAGTTCTTTGGTGATATTTTTTGTACCATACGGAATACTATGTAATGGTGCAGATTCAACAGGACGAGATTTTAATGATTATTCATTATTGGCATTTACATGCTTTACATCGTTGATCATTGTTGTTACGGGCCAAATAGCATTTGATACAAGTTATTGGACTATTTTTAATCATATTGTTATTTGGGGTTCGGTGATATTCTATTTTTGTCTTAGCTATATTTTATATGAAGGTTTGTTACATCTTCTATATATTTTCATAAATTTATTGAAAAGAAAGTATTCGAAAATACGAATGGATCTTAGTGGCATATTTCAAAATAGTTCGAAAAAAAAGAATTGCTTTCTTAATTTTTTTTTGAAATTGTAAAAACTTATTTCAGGAATGCTGGAAATATTTATGTTTACTCAAATTGTTTTCCTAGTTGAATTTCTAAATCTTTATTTCTAAATTTCTTGGGATTCAAAATTGACAGATAACCGAATTCAATTTGCCGTTAAATTGACCATTTGGATATTTCGTGATGATTGCTTGATAACATAACAAAAATTTTCAGCTTTGCCTGTATGGTTCGCTTCAAAATTTCAGTCAGCTCAGTCTTATGGTGTCATGCAGCGTGCCTTTACATCATTGCAGTTTTGGCTTTCCCTTTTAATGGTATCCGTTATTTTGCTCTTACCGGTACTTCTTAATCGATTTTTCTGGTTCGACATACATCCCACATTTGCTGATCGTCTTCGAATGAAACGAAAGCTTCAAACTTCTTTGGAAGAGCTACCACCAGTAACAACGTATGCAGCCTTTTATAAATCAAATTTTTTCCTAAATGCCGATCAAAATTCAATGCAACTCCATTACCGATAAACTTCATGTAACCTGATTGGTTGTTATTTTTTTGTTTACCTTTTTGTTTTTTGTTTGCCACTAACTTTTGTTTACCTTATTGCAGGAGAACACGGCGTTCAACAATTGGTCGAAGTCGTCGAGCTTCATCACGCTCAGGATATGCCTTTTCCCATCAGCAAGGTTTCGGTGATTTGATCATCAAAGGAGAATTGTTCAAACAGGTGGAACAAATAAATTCTGGAAGGTTTGTTATCAGTTAGTCATTTCGTAGAAAAATTAAACTCGCACTAATTTAATGTAATCACACAAAGTGAATGTTAAATACAAAATTTTAGTTCGCTGCAGAAGATTGTTTCACCTATCCGGCAGTTAGCAGAAAAGGGAACAACCACTATGCTCAGACCAATAACACTTTTGTCACAAAGAAATAACAAAGTTAGTATGTTCGCTTGTCAAATTTTATTGTTTAATGTATCCTAATCCGAAACAAGCAAGATTTTTAATTTAATTGGGGAAAAAACTCTAAAACCGGAACCTAAACTGTAATTAATTGTAGAAGAATTTGAGAAAGGACTGATGCGAAAAAAAGTTGAGATTAAAGAATTATAACGATTGAAAAATTTAGGTAATACCTGCAGTACAAATTAAAGAAGAGTCCGGGCAAACGGAGCACACTGAATATAATTCAGAAGGGCTACCCAAAATTTCTAAGGGACGAAATATGCATAATTCTAATAACGAAGATAAGGACACTGATATATCACCACAGTTTTTGCACAAAATCACTGTTAACAACGATGAAGAACTTACTATCAAGCACCTCGTAAGTGTTGTTTTCCTAGAAAATTGATTTGCACGAATCTGAATATTTTGAATTTCTAATTATATTTTACTTTCACGGATTTGCATTATGCCTTTTAGTATACGAATTTTTTTACAAAAAGCTAATCTTGTGACTTCTAAAATCTAGAAACTCTTGAAAAATTTTAAATAAATTATGAAATGTTAGACGAAAATTACTATTGTACAATTTTAACAGCAGTAGCAACAAAATGATTTGAAGATAGAGAGAGATGTGATTAAATTGAAACTTTGCAGGATGACGCAGCTTACAGAAACAGAAAACCTTCATCGGAACAACAACAAAAACATTCAGCTGATATTGTTTTGGAATCAGCGAATCAAATTGCACAAATTTCTCCTTCATCCACTAATACAAAACGTCAGAAGTCATTGCAATCCATCCAAACTACAACATATCTGAATTTGCCTGAATGGACTTCAAAATCTCCAAATGGCTATGTTGATATTGTAGGAGTTAAGCGAGCTGCATATAAACCATTGAACGAAACAAGACTGTAAAACTTTTAAGTCAATATATCTAAAAACATTAACCAGTCAGTCGATTGCATTACATCAGTACGTTCTCTACTTTTTTTTTATATTTTGCCTTTCACCTCATGCTCTTGTTCTCTGTCTGTTTATCGTTTTTAAGATCCACATGTTTTCGGCATTCTTTAACTCAAATTTACTAATTATATTTAATTTATTACATATTTGGTTACATGCTGATCTCGAAATAGTCATCTATTCAAGGAGTTCCAGCTAATGGTTGCTAAGATGATAACCCTAGAAAGAGCTTAATTCTTAGTTTTTATTTTAATTCAAAAATCGACCCTCTTGACCAGTCACATTAGGGCGTTAAACGTGTCATTTTCCACTCTCGCTTCCCCTTGTGAAATTCATCTGATCTGCAATACTTCCCTTCATTGCTTATTTGCCTGTGAAAATCCTACAAAAATTCGGTTTGTAATAAATATATAGTGAAATGTAAAATGATTGCCTGTGCTGCTAACAAAGATCTTCAATTTTCAACAAGCAGTATTGACAATTCAGGAAAAAAATCACGCGGTGGTATTTCATTGCGTACACTTCAGCAATTAGGTAATAATAGCTAAATCTAATCATTTGCTCCTATCTTCTAGAAATAAATCAAAACATCTCACTATCACAAAATATAGAAAATATGATGATATACAGTGAGTTCTAATCATTTAATACTAGTACAATAACTTCCATGCATATCTCCCTCCATACTAAGATCACTGCGATCAACATCATCGTGTAACGAAAATGAAAGTTTTATACTCGCATAAACATATATATTATCTGAAATGAGGGCAAACAAAACCGACAACAAATTTAAATTCATTAGTCTCCAATTAACATTTAAAATAATATGCTGTATAGAAAAAATATGAGCAATGTCTAAATACTGATCTCGGTGAAACAGAATGCAAATTCTTTGAAGGGAATAATATATTTGTTTGGAACTGTTGATTGAAATATCCCGTTTGAATGAGATCGAGATTCTGTTATGGTAATCAGTTTGTGCTGGCCGGAGAAAGACAAAACTTAATTCTGTCCCACACAAGCTATATTGTTAAAATTTCAAAAAAATTAGTAATCTAGCTTCTAATCATCTGGAAATGTTTTGCGGATGAATCAATGGATTCGAATATCTAAAATCCTAATAATCTTTAAAATATCTAACAAAGTACTATGAGCTAATATGTCGCACAGAGGGAAGATATAATCACATGGATTGTACTATAATTATAGGAGTTAAAACATACGGATAAGTGGCAGTTTGAACTTAGGAATTTACTAATGAAAAATTTAAAATCTACTTGTGACGAAAAAATCATTTGCCGGCCGATTCATTCCGCGGTGGTACAGGTGGCGGAATGCAAACGACTTGGCTAACTTTAACAGGCTCTGGATATGATATTGATAATGGTGTTAGCTGTGCTGATTGAACATTTACATTTGCAATAAGATCATTTGTTGAGGGACGTATCATCTCATTTAATAAAGGTGATGATGCCGATCTGGGAGTTACATTCGGCACATTAAGCTGACAAAAATCCATTTCATTTCGATCCAGCGGAAATTTACATCTCAGTCTGGATATTCGATCATCCGATTCACGTTTTATTGGTAAATCGTCCTCATCTGGACAGTCAAATTTAAATAAGAATTGATTTCTGCCAAAAACTGAGAACTAGATCTCGACAAATGTTTTATTTGACAACATTTTCAATTCATTCACAAATTTGAAACCCATTTAATATTAGTTCAAGTTTTCAAAATTACCATTAATTTCGAAGTTATCCGCATTTCCTAGTTCAATGCATTCCATGTTCATATCTTCGTTTGCATTTCGCAACATATTATTTATTTCGGCATATTCCAGTTCAGCCCAATTCGGAGTTAATAAATGAACACTTAGGACAGAATTTCCAATCTTTACTCCATCCAAGCTCAAGGCTGCCAAGGCTATATCACAACTATTGAAAATTAACCACAGTGCACCAGATTCGACCCTAAGGAATGGTCTGAATTACAAATTCTAATTATTAATTTTTGGTTTCATTATACGTCAATGAACACTTATGAATTTACTTTACAACTATAAAACATGATCATTTTATATTGGAGCTAGGAAAAATAATAAAACGCACTTGCTAATGGATGGCGATATTCCAAGTAGATCAAGTTTTCCGACAACAGGAAGGTGCATTTCCGGAGGGAAACTATCAAGATTGCACACTGACACAAGCACAGTTCCATCCGGAGGACCCATTGAACTATAAAAATTATTATGCATGCAGAACTGAAGAAAGAAAACTTGCTAAACATTCTTCATACATTTTTAGCAGCAAGTTTGGCTTACTACGAGATAAAGAAGTAGTACCAAATAAATCTATTTGAAATTATTTAAAAACAACACATCAATTTTTAAATCACAAACCTGACTACGTCCCTGAAAACCAATCCAAATCGTGAAAGGTTGGTTTTATAGGCATCAACACGGAATAAAGCACAAACTGGTCTATGATCCGAAGTTTTCAGTTCTATCCGGTCATAACTAAAAAAAGAATCTTTGGTGCTTTTCCCAGAAAGGACAACTTCACGCACGCATTCCCAACGAAAAAAATTACAGTAGAATATTTCAGTGAATGAAAAAGTTCGCAAAACATATTAAAATTACTTGAGCAATTGCACAATCTTTGATATGCTTGTTTCTCTCCAGAGGATTCGGTCAGTCCAGGCAGGAACACGACATTTTTCTGATGTATCATAATCGTCAGTAAAAGTGTCGTATTTATAAGTTGGAGCAAAAGTTAGCGGTCCCTCTTCGAAGTCCTTGAAAATCTGCAAAAAAATTTAACAAATTATTAATTTGTAAACCGATAAACGAGTTCAAAAAGAATATGCAAAACCAAAATATAAATAATTTAAAAATTCATACTTCACCCAAGGCTTTTTGCTGAGAAAGCTGATCGTAACGAGAAAGTTCTACCATATTTCCGGATTTTATTGCTGCTTCAACTTCATTGCGCGACAACACTATTCGATAATTAAAGTCACCGAGCCAAAATACAACGACATGAGATAAAATGTCACGACCCTAGAATTTCAACTCAAATAAGTATGCTGAACCATCAATCATTTATGAGATATCTTCGACTACTTCTCTGCATTGAATCCATCATAAGTTAAGACGATTCCAAAACTTCTTGCTATTTACCATATTCTGATACCATTCAATTTTCAATAGTCTTGCACTCAACAATGATTACATAGCACACTTACATAAAATCAATTTGTGGTAATCTTCGACGAATTAAAAATTAATCACCTGAGAAAATTTGATTTTTCTCAATGCATTCATATAGTCTTCATTACGATCACGAACTTCATTTTGGCCTGCAGCTAAATGAGAACAGACAAAGCAAAACGTCGTGGAATATATGGTTAAGCTCATTGCCACCGAACCTTTATTCCCTGTTGCACCGCCCATTCCTACAAAATACAAAATTTACTGCCAATTTGATCGAAATTAAGAGCGAAAGTATGCATCATGCAGCATGTTTCTGTAACGTCTGCAAAACTTCGCATTTCATATCAATTTCAAGTCGAAGCTTGCACAATTTTTTGAGTCCTCTACAAGGCTTGCAGGAACTTAACATAGCTTACACATGGCTTTGCATACTTACACATGCCTCCGACGCTTACGTACTTGAAGATAATTAGCACACAAAAACGAAGAAATAATCAAACCTGTTTTAACACTATTTATGGACATATCACGTATCGAAGTGGCAAGCGAAGGTTTGATAAAAACAAAAATGCATACACCAACAAGTTGCTCACATCCTAACAATATATATTTATTCCGTTTTGATAACGCTTCGCGCAAACCTAGAGCCCATGCACGCTGATTTGTTGTACTGAAAAATAACTCGCACAATAAGAATCAGCAAGCAGAAAGAAGGAACTAAAAACGGTGAGTTAATGAAATGATGACTACATGAATAACATAATAAACGGAACCTAAACGTGATTGCCATAGCAAATACTGTCTTTCTACATAGATAACTTCTTGGGATAATGAGGAAAAGCAAAAAAACAACTTGCCTAGCACTGACTATATTCGAAGCATTCAAATCTATGATTTCTTCCAGACCAACAACATATATATCTGGCGTAATACTGTTTTCTCCGTTTAATCCTAAAGTTCACGTATATGACAAGTTAATTGGACAGAAGTAACTTAGCACTTAAAAATCTCATAACAGTGAGAGCGAATAAATAAGTCCCTGCACTACTCCATTCATTACGAATTCGAAATATCCTCACAACTCCAACTCTCCTCTTTTCCAATATAAAACTCAATGACTGTGGGAATTTCCTGCTCTTTAAATTCATTTACCTGCGAAATGTTGTGGGAATAACCAATCTGCCAAATTTGTTTGATTACGAAAAGCAATATTAGAGAAATTCTTGCCACCATTTACGTTCCAAGTCCCTACCCAAATAGTTAATGGAACATTTTCAATCATTTCCATTTTTCGCTCCGCTAAATCTTTCAATACCGATGGATCTTCTAAAATATTTGAATTTATTATTAATATAAATTAAAAATAAACAAACGTTGAAACAAAATATGGAACAGGAAGCATCAAACATTCCCAAACTGCACGTTTTATACATACACAAATTGCATATAAAAAACATGCATTTTTTAAATCTATTTTCAGAACTTACCTAGAAAAATATCACGCGGCAGCATAGAGGCCAGCTCGCTATACGAATTATCATAAATAAATGTTCCTTGAAGAAGAAATTCGAACGCTTCTTGTTTCGATGCATCGAAAAAATTGTTTTGAATTGCCCTTACCAGTGTTCTTTTTGCATCTTTCATCTATGCATGGAATTTTTGTATCACTATTATAATTAAACAAATACTGCAACGAAAAAACATAACGTCAAAATTGGATGTCACTTACTTTACT